CACTCAGGCAAACACTTCTACATATAAAATTAAAATAAATTAAAAAAAAAAGATTCATCTGTCAAGCAGGCAATGTAGTGCATGCCTTTAATACCAGCACTTGGGAGGCAGAGGCAGGTGGATCTCTGTGAGATAAAGCCAGTGTGGCTTACATAGTGAGTTCAATCCTCCCCCCGAAAAAAACAAAAAAGATTCATCAGTCAACTTCAGAGTGACCATATCTAAATACTGGATAAAACACTGGAAATGTCTTTATATCGTAATTATATTTGTGAGACAATTAGAAGTTTGAATAGTGGCTGGACATTTGATTATTTTTTGTTTTTTTGAAAGAGGGGCTTGTGATGAAACCCATCCTGGCCTCAAACTTGGGATTCTCCTGCCTCTGTTTCCCCATGTGTACCACTATTTCTGGCTTGGCTCTTTGATGATTGTTTTTTGACAGGGTCTCCCTAGTTCCAGCCCACCTGAAAGTTACTTATGTGGTCCAGGCTGGCCTCAATCTCACAGAGATCTGCCTGCCTCTGCCTCTTGAGGGCTGGGATTAAAGGCATGCACCACCCACCTGGCATATATTTGATGATTTTACTGAACTATTAGGTGCTTAGAGATAATGTTAAAAACAAGAATTTGCATCATTTGAACTTAGAAAGATACTGAAATGTTTGAATCTATTTTGTCTCTGGTGTAGACTTCAAAAACAGAGAGAGAGGAGGAGAGGGGAGGAGAGGGGAGGGGAGGGGAGAGGAGAGGGGAGAGGAGAGGAGAGAATGGGGCCAGCCTGGCCAGGTTGGGATGCTGGGGGACAGGCATGTGGAGTTTATTCTATTGTTCAAATTCAATTCTTTATAATAAAAAGTTCACACACAGAGAGAGGCAGTTACTAAAACTGCCTCCCCAGCTAATGTAGACTCTGCCTTCTGTAGCCCCCAGAGCCAGCACACTGGAGTCTGCTATACCCAGTTCTGCCCTTTCATTAAGAGAAAAGGTAAGTCTTTTTTTTTTTTCTTTTTTTGTCTTTTTGAGACAAGGTCTCCCTGTAGACCAGACTGGCCTTGAACTCACAGAGATCCACCAGCCTCTGCCTCCCAAGTGCTAGGACTAAAGGTGTGCATCACACCATGCCCAGCAAGGGTGAGTCTTCTTTATTTTTTATTTTATTTTTATTTTATGTGTATGCATGTATTGGCTGCATGTAGGTAAGTGCACCTGTGTCATGCAATGCCCACGGAAGACAGAAGAGGCTGTCAGATCCCCTGGAGCTGGAGTTACAGACAGTTATTAGCTACCATGTGGGTGCTGGGATTCAAACCCGGGTCTTCTGAAAGAACAACCAGTGTTCTTAACTGCTGAGCCATCTCTCCAGCCCCCAAGGGTGAGTCTTATATCAAGGATCTAGAAGTGAGCTGCTGGGCTGGGAATATGGCTCAGTGGTAGAATGCTTGCCTAGCGTGCCTGAGGCCCTGGGTTGAAACCACAGCACTGCCAAAAAAAAAAAAAAAAAAAAAAATTGTGAGTTTCCTAGCTGAGCAATACCAGCATCAAGCACTTGTGCAGTTAGGGCAGGAGGACTGGGAACTTGAAGTCAAACCAAGCAACAACAAACCCCACAAAACCATATAGAAGTGGGCTTACTGGGAGCAGAAGGGGCTTACTGGGAGCAGAAGCCCTGGCAATATTACAAACTGAAAAATAATCACATTTGCATAGGTAGAATTCTCTGGTACACAAGAAATTCTAATGTTAGAATACAGGTGAGTTAAAAGGTAGCTCATCTTTTGAATACTGGTCCCCAGCTGGTGAAGGCCACGGAGCCTTTAGGAGGTAGGACCTGGCTGGAGGAAGTAGGTCACTGGGGGGGGGGGGGGCTTTGGAAGTCACACCTGCCTCTGCTTCACTATGTAAGAAGTCTCTGTTTCATGTTCTTGCTATCCTCCCTCTCCCCTCACTCCATGAGGGACTGAAATCTCTTTGAAACCAAGAGCTAAAACAAACCTTTCTTCCCTTAAGATGTTTCTGTGAGATATTTAGTCTCTGTTTCAAAAGGGCTGTTTAAAAATATAACATTGCTTAAAAAAATATATGGTCCACCTTACAAAAGTCGGTAACGTGATAAGATTCCATCTCATGTGTAGGTGGGTGAGGAGGGCTGGCTGGCCCAGAAGGCATTCAGGTGTCTGTCAACACCTGGAGCTGCACAGGAGAGATCTGACTAGTGCCAGACCTCAGAGACCATAAGCACCAAAGAATTCCCATCACTTTCTCAAGCAGGCTCCCGGATGTTCATCTGCTCACCTTCCCCTCCCACCTTCCTGATTCTATAGTCCACGGAATTCACTCTGTTAATCCCAGCAAAGCTTAAGCCACGGTGTTAACTTTCCTCTGTGTACTAGTCCCTCCTAGAATCCCTGCCCATTCCAGACGTCACGACAGCCTTCTAACCTATTCCTGTTTTGGACAGATACTCCCAGTGAGAAAGCTCATCAGGGGCCCTTGGAGCCACCCAGCCACGCAACTGGGCACATACACTTTGTAAGCACTGGTTTCCAACAGATAAATGTAATCAAGGTTTATATGCTCAGAGAAGCCAACAGGATGGGATTGTTTCACTTGAAAGATCAGAAGAAAATTGTAACTAATGTTGTGGAAAATTACTTTGATATTGCTTTCTTGGTACCGAATCACAATTAGGCTGCTGTGAGAAGTAAAGGGAAAGGGTAAATGAATAGTAACAAATCAACACAAACAGCTTGTGTCAGGAGCACTTTGCTCAGGGAAAGTAACATAAGCATTACTTAAAGTTTTATGACTGTGTTTGGTGTGATTTACATAGACCATCAAGGTTGCCTGCCACGTAGCACATGGAGAGGATGGTCCACCTGCATCCACCAACAGAACTTCACAGTCGAGACTCACGCATGTCCCTCACCTGGCTCAGCTGGTTACAGAGGATGCTAAGCATCAGAAGATCCTACACATCCTGTCAGCCTGAGGTTCAAGTGCTTCTCTGCTGTGCTGTTCTACCCCAGAACGCCCAACCATACTGTGTTCCCTACCCACTTGTCATCCACACATCTGTGCATTCGGTCAGTTGTGCAGAGCAAAGTTAGCTGACATGACAGGCAAGAATCCGATGCCTATAAAACCAATTCTCTGCTTTGCCAGCTGGCTCTAGTGTGGGAGGGCATAAGCTAGGATGATCAAAGCAGATCTCATCGTGGACTAGATCACCTGCCCCAAGAATGGACCACAGAGGGGCCCAACTCCTGTCCCACTGGACACCATAGATACATTTATGCCTTCTCCTTCTGGCCCCCTCCACATAATGCAGACCAGACCCCTGGACCTTCTGCCCATGTGTGCATCACAACCGTACACACCAGGGCATGTACCAGAGATGCATAGCATCCTTTATCCTGAGCAGTGTTCAAATTCCTTGCTCCTGGGTTTCCTGTCCTACAGCCCACACACGACCAGAGGGACCAACGCTCAGTCTGCTTTGATGGAGCTGTCCTGTAGGACACTGCTGTGCTGACTCAGTGTCACTCGCTATTCTAGGACTCTTGAGAGGCTTTTAAGTCCCCAGAGAAGCCAGCTCAGTCACACACACTTGCTTCCTCAGAAGCCGGAGAGCAGCCAGACCCACTTTTGACAATCACCAGCTGTGGAGGTCGACCCCAGAATGCGTCAGCACAGTGCCTTGCCTGCTGTCTCCAGAGCCTGCCTCTCACTCACTGTTTGTAATAAAAGGCATAACTCATTGGCCTCCTTCACACAGGGCCTCTGGCAGCAGCTGCTAGGCTCGGGTGGGCGCTGGCCTCTGTGCGTCTTCTTTCTTCCCTCCTGAGGCCTGTGGCCTTCCATCTGGGCCCAAGGCCATATATCCAGTTTGCAGAAGCAAAACAATGAAGCAGGACAAAGAAAGGGAGCCAAGCTGTGCAGAGCTGAGGGTGGTGCTGGGGAGGAGCCCCTGGCTGGGGAACAGACGTCCCTAGGCCATGCACCCCCATCCTGTGCCACCATGCCACCATATCCAGCAGATGTTGACCTCTCCAGTGGGTCACAAGACACAGATGGAATGGGACAGGTGCAACAGCGGTGGGTCTCTGCCTCATAAAGAGAGCATGTAGTCGCTCTTTCTGTCCAAGTCAGAGGAGCCACATTCAAAGGGTTCCCAGAGCTGGGTGGGGAAACTGAGTCTCACATTAGGGATGTGGGTTCAAGAAGACATGTTCAGGGCTGGTAAGGTGGCTCAGCAAGTATAGGTGCTTGCCAGCAAGCCTAAGTTTGATCCTTGAAACCCATATAATGGAAGGAGAGAACTGATTTCTGCAAGTTGTCCTCTGAATTCCACATGCGTGATATGGGACGTGTGTCCCTCCTTCACAAATAAAATAAATAAATGCTTAAATAAAAGACATTTTCAGCTGGGTCTGGTGGTACAGGCCTATCTTTCCAGCTACTCAAAAGGATAAAGCAAAAGGATTGTATGTTCAAGGTCAGACTGGGCAACTTAGTGAGACCCTGTCTCAAAATAAAAATAATTTTAAAATGTTGAAGAGGTAGCTCAGTGGCAGAGAACATGCCTAGCATGTGCAAGGCCCTGGGTTCAATTCCCAATAACATAAAAAAGAGAAAGAGGTTGACCTGGTGTTCCAGGTAATGTGGAATATGCCCTAAGAGTTGGCAGAACCCTCTTACGTTTGAGATTTATCTAAGACTACAGACCACACAAAACTGGCTGACCAGATGGGCAGCCTTTCCATCACCCTCACGAGGGGCTGCTCAGTTGCTAAGAGGCCAGAGCTACAGTCTTGAGACTACTGATTTGACAGCAGGCAAACGTTCCCACATTGACATTGATGCCTTCTGGGAGGAAGTCAGACCCCTCCTCTGTCTATCAGGGTGGCTGTTCTCCAGGTCCAGCACATCAGGGTAGCCATAAAGGCCTGTGTGTGCCGTAGGCTGGAAAATGGAAGACCAGCAACTGCGGGGCTCACCTGGAACCTGCTGGGAGGTGAGCTCGGCAGGGTCTTGTAGGCTGATAAAGAGGAGGAGGCCCGCAGCTCCAAACAGAAGGATGGATGAGAACATGCAGGCCAGCCGCATTGTTCCGAGTCGTAGGGTCATCCGGGGCACGCTCCGGGGTCACCTCTTGGGTGTGGGAGGTACGTTCTTGCCTCATCATCCACACCAGGCATCCATCAGGCTGAGATCTACAGGGCAGAGGAGAAGAAAGCATTGTGCCTCAGTCACAGGGTATGGGGGCGGGGGGTTGGTTAAAGATCCTGTCACTTCTGGATCCTTTATCCCACCCTGGAACTCATTTGTGTACTCTTCTCTTACTCTTTCCCTATCTCCTTCCCTTTGGACAGGGACTCACTATGTAGCCTGGGCTGGCCCCAAGCTCGAGATCTTCCTGCCTTAGCCTCCTGTATACTGAGATTGCAGGTATCACCATCCCCGGCCACTTCTGCCTTTTTAAACCCAGCGAGGCTAAAGGGAGTCCTGTTGCTGCTGCCTGTGCCGAGGACAGCAGCATCCCACCAAGATCTCCTGTGTCTGTACCTGCAGTAAAACCATGGAGAGAGACAGTCTCAGAGGAGGGCCTTGTCACAGGCCATAACCAGCAACACCCCCTGCCACCACACCATCAGCTCTATGAACCTCCAAATCAGCACGTGTGCTCCCTGTGTGGAAGGTCTAAGTACAGGCAGGGATGTGGGTCCTTGTCCTTCATAACTAGCCCAGTGGAAAGATCTGCTTTTGCCCCAACTCCGTTCTTCAGTATGCTAGGGACAAGTATCTCCATGGAGCTGGAGGCTTTGAGGAGGCTCCTCACAGCTTCAAAGGATGCTGAGCCACAGCTGTCCTCATCGATAGACTGAGATGGGACTGGAGGGATCCAGGCTCTGCTGGATAGTTACACCCGTGGGAGCTGAGCCTTGGAGCAGCTAGCCCTGAAATTTCAGATCTCAGGCTCAGAGGCTTTGTGCTGCCATCCTGCCACCTCTACTTGACTTCTGGCCTCTGTAGACCCAAAGTATGCCCACGTGACTTGCCCTTCACTTTGGTTTTGCCAGAAGGACAGAAGAAATGGCCACTATTGAAAATATAAATAAGTGACCTTGAACTGAGCTAAAGCTCTGTTCATTGCTTCTAGGTCTGGCCAGCATACTGCCACACTCTGGTCCCTCGATCCCTACCATGTAGGACTTTGAAACCAAGAGCCAAAATAAAGCTCTCTTTTTTTAACTTATTTCTGTCAAGTATTGTGTCATAGCAATGAGAAAAGTATCTAATCACACCCAGAGGCCATCTGTCCAAAGACAGAAGATGAGGTTCTGCAGTGGTATGGGTATGGGTTTAATGCCATGGGTGTCAAGGATCCATCTGCCCAGGCAAGCAGCAGGTGTCCCGAGGACTTCCTCTTTGAAGGAGCATCCCCTTGTTCTTTTATCTTTACCTGGCTCTGTTGCCCCGAGCCAAAGAATATTCCTTCCTTTGCACCTGAGTGGTCTGCAGGGATTTTGTTCACCCTGGCACAGAGCAGTGCCCAGGGGAAGCTGAGGCCACCTAGGGCCTTTGTAGGACTGCAGTTAGGTGGCTGGCTGTAAGTCAGATGTGCTGCCCAACACATTTCCCTACCCAAGTCCTGAGTCCTGAGGGACCAGCCTCCACCGAGGTCTCTTTGGGTCCAGCCTGTGGACCATGAAACTGGAAGTGATGAACAGTCCTCCCCTGCTTCTGTGCCCAGGAAAAAAAATTCCCAAGGATTAGATTGCTTCTCAGAAAAGCTCAAGGGCTAAGGAGTATAAACTCCAAGTTTGGGTTTCTCCCTTCTGCAGTCTTTGTAATTATTTTTTCACTCAGTTAACTTTAATTAACCTGCCGCAGGCCTCTACGCGCCTGGCGCTGGGTTCCCTGGACTGTGTGGAGCAGGTGGTTCCCACGACCTCCCAGCTTTTATGCTTGGGAAACAGCAGTGAGTTGAGCTTGCTTTATCTGTGGAGCCAACTCTGGGGTTGTGAACAGGCTGTGACCTCAGAACAATGGACTTGCCCTAAATAGAGACTGCTGCTTCCTGCCATCAATGACGTGGGGGGAGGGAGATCCTACCCTGCTTGGGCCCAAGGGAGAGCCACAGATCCCCAGAGGCTCAGACCTGAGGGTCCTTTATGTACAGTCAGGGCTGCCCTAAGATGGATTGTCCTGTGGGGGAAATGAGAGAGGGTTCTGATTTATTGTCTTCAAAAGACACAGGTGCAGTTTAGATTCCATCTAAAGGATGAAGTCACTCTCTGTATGGAGGCCCACAGCCTGCCCAATGCCCTTTCCCCAGACTGTGCATGCAAAGTCTTGGGCCAACCATTGCCAATCTCCAGCTACAAGGGGACCATGAATGATCAAGGGCATGTATCTTACCCAGAAGAGCTATTTCAGAGCCTTTCTTCATCTATGTGTTCCCAGGCACTCTTTCCCCCCTTCCCCAACCATCACCATCAACACACACACACACACACACACACACACACACAGAGAGAGAGAGAGAGAGAGACAGAGACAGAGACAGAGAGACAGAGAGAGAGAGAGAGAGAGAGAGAGAGAGAGAGGAGAGAGAGAGCTATCATAGTCCTTTAGGATGCCCAAACAATCCTGGAAATACCATTCCAGTGACACAGCAGGCTGCAGAATCTCAGCAAGGAAGCCCAGGAGGACGATGGATGCTGTGCATGCATACTGAGTGTACACACACACACACACACACACACACACACGCACACTTTCAATGGTCCACATCAAGGCCTCTGCAAGCTATGGTGTTGGTATGGTTTCTACAGCTTTGTCAACCTCCTGAGTCAGACATCTAGAAGCCAATTTGACCAAGGATGGGTGGCCTCTGGCATGGAAACAATTCATATGGAGGATGTTGTGGTTTGAATAGGAAATGTCCCACACAAGCCCATGTCTTGAGGTCTTGGTTCTGAGGTGGTAGGATTGTTTGAGGAGGGTATAGCTGAAGGAAGTAGGTTGCTAGGGGGTGGGTCCTTGGGAGCATCTTGTCCTTACCCCTCTTCTCCTTACTGTTTCCTTCCTGTTTGTCATGAGGTCAAGAACCTCTTCTACTACAAGACATGCTGTTCTGCTCAAGCACACAGGGTCAAGTGACCATAGACTAAACCCGCTGAAACCATGAGCCCAAATAAACCTTTATGTTGTTTGTCAAGAATGCTGTCAGTGACCAAAAACAAACAAAAAACAACAAACAAACAAAAAAACCTAACTACAGAGAGGAAGAGAGGAAAGACAAGCTATGCCTAATACACAGCTACCTGAGAGAAATGAAGAACATGGCCTGGGTGTCGCCCCTAAGGCTATTTGATGAATAAAGGGACTTAGAATCCCAAGTCATCACTGTTTTGTTTGTTTCCTGCCTGGAGCTGCAGATGTGTCTACAGAAAGAGGTCAGTCCCTTCTCTTCCCCAATCTCACACATTCACCATTAGAGACACTACAGACCTCTATCAACTAAAGGGGCCCTATAGCTGTGCCCCAAATCTACCCATACCAAACCCACCACATGGAACAGGATCTGGCTGCTCATGTGCCTGGGATCCAGAATTGGGGGGTGGGTGACTCAGTTGCATAATATTTGCCATTTCTAAGGCCCATGAAAACACCCCAGCATCCTGTCCATGCTCAGGGATCTGGTGTTAGAGCTTCATGTGGCTTCTCCATCCAGCCTTTAAGCCCCTGACCCCAGCCTTTCCTTCTGGAACTCTCTTCTCTGTGTTTGCTCTCACTGGGGACCACCTGGCTAACTCCTGGCTCCGTGCAAATGAGAATCAAACGGTCAGTTGCCTCTCCTCCTGGGTAAGTGGCTTGTGATATAGCTGGATTTGTAATGTGCCAGGAAACCCATCCTCCTGGAATCTGCAAGACCCTTTCCCCCAAAAGGTAGGAGAGGACAGAAGGCCTTCCACAGATCTAGATGCACGCTCCGGAGGATGTTTGTCTGTGACTTACCCCTCACCCCCAATCTTCCCCCTCTCCAGGTTTTTTTCTTCAGTCACAGGATATTTTCAAGACGACAGGGAGCTGTGGGTCCCAAGACCATTTGTCTCCCTCTGCTGAGTCCAGCTGCTGGCTGGGACCTCAGTACTACAGTCTGTCAAGGCCAGGACCTGGCTGCTTGCAGGCGCTCAAACACATCTACAGGCTCCCACTTGGGACCGTCCTGTCCTCATCACACAGCTCTGGTGACAAGTGCAACCTCCCCTCACCTCCCTAGTCCCTTCCAAGGCCAGCAGTCAGTAAGAAAATTCAAATAATTGGGGATAAAGAAAAGATGGAAGGGGGCAGTTAGGACAAGAAAAATACATGCTGCTGTTGAGTTTCCTGCCCTGCTCAAAATTCCAAACCCTTCTAGTGGCTTCTCTCCCTGAGGCCTGAATGGCATCACCAATTTTTACTTTGAAAAAGAAAAGATCCAATTAATATTGTAACACCTCTGGGACACAGGAAAAGGCCAAAGATTCCTCCCATTTCCTTATTTATTTGATTTAAAAATTTGTCTCTTTGGGGTAATTGACTTTAGGGTATAAGCAAAGGCTTGGGAATTCAGCCAAAACACACGCACCTCCAGCGGGGACAGCCGGACACTCGGACGGTTCCAAGGACACGCTTGGCTGTGGCTGCTCCAGAGTCTGGATGTTCGCCTAGGCACCCAGAGGACCCCTCTGGTTGTGGGGACCCGCCCCGACACCCCACACCTGGCAGCTTGGATGCGCCCACGTGGTCAGCGGGCCCCAGGCCCAGGAAAGTTCTCTATCCTGGTGTCTCCTCCTGGCACAGGCAAGAGCAAACAATGCCGTCCCTCCCGGCTGAGGGCTACGGGAGATGCTGCTCATCGGGAGACAGGCTGCTATGGCAACTTGAGGAGAATGGAGCCAGGCACTGCCGTCACCTTGAATCCGGCACCGTGCCTTCTGCCGCGGTGACAGAGAGGAACCTGGCGCCCGGCTCTTCCCAACACCGCAGCCGGACATCGGCAGCTGACCCCTGTCTTCCCTCTTCAGCCTCCTGACCTCGGGTACCAATCGGCCCAGTCCTCCGAGAGCACCACCTCCAGCTGTTTTGTCAGACTAGTTCTTCCGTGTGCGCCGGCTCCAGCTTACTTCTGAGATGGTGCTTTTCTTGATTTCAGCTCATTAAA